TCTGTCCAGTGCAGCTTGGCACGTTTGGGAGCTGCCACAAATGAAGGAAAGATCGTCCGCATACTCCAAGTCAATAAATCGATCACCTGGGAGCAGATCCACACCTTCTAAGTAAGGTACTGCGAAGGTGATCCCCGTGACTTCGTCAATAGCGAAGTTGAAGAAAAAAGGTCACAGCGAGTGTCCTTGTCTTGCACTGCCGGAGATATTAAAGGGCGATGACAGCTTTCCATAAGCCCTCACTCTGTCTGAGCTATGCGTGTATAATGACCGGATAATATTCACACATATTTCTCAGGTACACCTTTCCTGAATACACAGTCCCAAAGTGCACGTCTATCCACCGAATCGAATGCACCCTTGATATCGAGGAACACGACAACGGTGGGCCGCTAATATTTGTGACGGTGCCCAAACAACTGATCCAAGATGAAGATGTGGTCAATGCAGCCACGACCTCCACAAAACCCAGCTTGCTCTTCACGAACATGGCTTTCACGGATCAGTCAATCTGTAAAGGATGACAAAGACAAGCAATTTGGAGGCGATGGAGATCAGACCGATTTCTCTATGATTGTCACACTCCGATCGTGAGCTTCCCTTGAAAATTGGGACTATGACGGAGCGGTTGCAGTTAGTTGGGAGAATTTCCTGCTCCCACAGTTTGACTAGTAACTTGTGTAAACCATCAACAAGATCAGGTCCTTCGAATTTGAAGAGGGCTGGATGAAGATAATCCGGTTCCGCGGTCTTATTCAATTTCAGCAGTCCAATCTCACATTCGACTTATAAGCGAAGGGGCGGATCTAAAGGGAGAGCCCACGGAGCAGAGTGATCAGTGGCTGATGAGAAACCTAACAATTCCGGACGATTAAAGTGTCTTTTCAAGTGCTCAGTCTGATGCTCCAAGCATTTTGACGAATTGTGGATAGGATGTCTACTCTCATCATATGTAGTTTCACTAACACCAAGTATCCTGCTGCCCGTTTCCCGCATCAGACGGAATAACTTACGTTGGTTACCAAGGGCGGCAGCCACTTCCATCTCTGACGCACGATGAAGCCATCAAGATTCGTGGTCTCTTCTTAAGGCTAGCACGGAGTTTTACCCTGAGGTCTTTACGAGTCTCGTTGTGTTCCATTCCAGCCGGAATGTGCCGGCGAAGATTGATAAGTTCCAGAGACCGAGAAGAGATCCAAGGTTCATGTTGACATTAGACTTACTACATGAGGAGTTGCCTGCTACTAGTTGGGTCTGAGGAACATGTGACCAGTGACCAACAACTGTATTCAGTGAGCGCTTATTCAATCCGAATGCCAGGGTGGTTTGATACGCATCCAGACATCGGAGTTCGTCAGTTAGTTGGTGTCAATGCGCTCCCAGCACTGTCGTGGGCGTCAAAATACACCCACAGATCAGCACATACAAGTGCATGGTCAGTGTCTACACATGTGCTCCAAATCGAGCGACCATTTTGGACACGGTCTCACCAGCGGTAACTGAGCGCAATCTGATCGATTAGCGCCCAAGGCTGATGGGCGCCATGTCACTCTACGGCGCGTGCTGTCGGAAGTTAATGCTCGCAAGAAATAAGCGAGCATCTTTACACAAATAAAGTAGCCGTTTACCGTTATCATTACGGGAGCCTACACCGTGTTGGCCATCCAGATGCAGTTCATAAGTGGACAACTTTTCAACTTGGGCGTTCAGATCCCCAGCCAGCACTACAGTGCCGTGCTTCTTCTGTGACGAAGGAGCTCGGTCAGCTGGTGATAGTTGTCTTTTACCGAATCATGGCCAAAGTTTGTGGGTGCGTAGGCAGCGATGATGAACAGACACGAATTAGTCTCACGCGACTTCGAAGCTTTGAAGGAGCCAGCCAGTCAGACCGCATACATATGGCTACTGATTGGGGTCCAATCAACCAGAGCAGCTTCGGCCCGAGTACTCAGGGTAATACACACACCGGTTTGGCCGGCACTCGAAGTTGCATCGTCTCCGGATAGGCGCAATGAGCAAACACTGCCAGTGTCACCTGAGGAGGATCGCAAAGCAAGCACAAAGCTGGAGCCTTGCAGCCGGGTTTCCGATAATCAGCAGATATTGATGGGGCAAGTGCTACCTGTTGACCAATCTGTAGCAATGTGCGCACGTTGAGACATGCCAATATGAAGGAGGGTTGAGAGCCCCAAATAGAAGCCGATGAAATGGGCTTGACCGCTTGGTTGGACATGGGCTTGTCAACAGGGCAGGAGTGACGCTCTGCGTTCGCATTTGAGTTGAAACTAAGAAATAAACGCCTATCAAAGCAAGGCGGGGGAAGGTCAAGAACTGGGGGGTTTAAAACGGGGGGGGGGATAAAAGTGCAGTTGGAACGAGACGATAGGAGTAAAAAAGTGCAAGAGAGGGATAAGAAGACGAGAAGGCTTGGGCAGTAGTCCTTATCCCTATCCATCTTGTTGGGTGCGGCAGATAGGGCACCGTTGATTATGCTCTGCGGCGGCCAGAGCATTAAAATATTTAAAACAGTTAGTCCCCTTCAGTAGTTCGAACAACGAAATGAGAAGACGAATATTGGCAGATGCTAGCATTTCGTATTATCTCGTCAGTACCAATACAATAACAGGGAAATACTTTTATATATCTTACAGGGCACAGTCAAACCAATCAAAGTTATTGTTGTGGTCATTGTTATCAGATTACGTCCACGGCAACCGCAGGTTGACAACTAATTGCTTTTGGACACACAAAGCTGGTCTAATTCGGCTTATCGCGACGGCCTCGGCAAATTGTAAAAGGCGTGCATTAGTATGACGTAACAAGATCCGGAAAGCTGATAAGGGATTGACCTGGTGACGAGTCGCCAAGATGTGCCTGCCTATGGAGGACGCTGGTGGCTTACGCGAACACGTATCATCGGAGGTGGATTGGGTAACTTCACGCTGAACCCAGTTTGGTAGGTGTTCCTTCACTCGGGAATCTAAAACCCGTTCGGTCCTGTTGATGTAACTGATACCGCAGTCACACACGAATTGGTAGACACAATGGGAAAGTTGCCGTTACCTTCAGTAAAGGAAGATGAACCCGTCGGCGCCAAATCCCATTGTGTCTACCAATTCGTGTGTGACTGCGGTATCAGTTACATCAACAGGACCGAACGGGTTTTAGATTCCCGAGTGAAGGAACGCCTACCAAACTGCGTTCAGCGTGAAGTTACCCAATCCACCTCCGATGATACGTGTTCGCGTAAGCCACCAGCGTCCTCCATAGGCAGGCACATCTTGGCGACTCGTCACCAGGTCAATCCCTTATCAGCTTTCCGGATCTTGTTACGTCATACTAATGCACGCCTTTTACGATTTGCCGAGGCCGTCGCGATAAGCCGAATTAGACCAGCTTTGTGTGTCCAAAAGCAATTAGTTGTCAACCTGCGGTTGCCGTGGACGTAATCTGATAACAATGACCACAACAATAACTTTGATTGGTTTGACTGTGCCCTGTAAGATATATAAAAGTATTTCCCTATTATTGTATTGGTACTGACGAGATAATACGAAATGCTAGCATCTGCCAATATTCGTCTTCTCATTTCGTCATTAAAATATTGCTTGAGGAAAGGTTCATAGTATTGCGTGGACAGGATACTGCCAGGAGAAAGATTAGAGTTCTCAACCAAAGGCAGCAGGTTTGTCAGTGAGCTACAAGAAGCCTGTTTTATGGAATGAGGAGCCACCCTCACTCCAATTCCCAATCTGGAGGACCAGGAGGCTCAGTTTGTCTGGCCTAAAACCATTGACCAATCTGGTATGAGTGACTCTGAAGATGCGAAAAGCACCACCTAGCATGGCTCAATTGATCTCTGAGGCATGCAAACCATCGCATCACGATAAGGTTCAGCGTCATTGCGAAGGGCCAAAATGTGGCCAAAGAAAGTTCTGCAAGAAGGTGGAAGTCAGCTAGGTGATCAGTGGGTCACATTAGTAGCTTGGGGACACATGAAATCAGGCTGATACCTGGAAGATTTTCACAAGACCTTTTTTGACCTTCTTAGTAGACAGAAGGACGGTTGGGAGATACCAATCAGAAAGTAGTCCCTCTAGGTGCTAGATGTAATTGAATAGAACGACTGGGGCAATAACTAATGAGTGGGATGTTATTAAGACCAGGCGATTTATTCTGTTTGGGCAGCGCTTATTCGTGCCGGATCACGTCGATGATGGGACTAGCCACGTTATCGTCCTAGAATGACCCAGTTCACAACCATGGTGCACATAAGTAGACGAAACGCTCTTCAAAGTGTTAACTCAACGTTCTAGTCGACGGCAAATGGGCTCATACAAAAGTGAACAGGGAAGAGGTTACAAACTGGGGAATAGGAGACGAAATGACATTCAATGGGATGAAACTAGAGCCAAAACATGGAGTATGGTGTCTGGATTGACCGCAAAACAAATAGTTGCACTACAAAACGGGTGTGCTGGATTCGAATACTGCGAGTCGATCGCATGATTAGTACCTGTTGGTGCGCCGGCTGTTAAGTGAACACACTCTTGATTAGCAAGTAAACAAAAGAAGACAGTCAATATAGGCCAAATAAATAAATAATTTTATCATCGATGCAACGAGGTACACCTAGGTAGATGTGGTCAGAACTTCTGGGAACAGCAGGCACACGTCTACGAGTCGTGTTGGACAGATTTATACAGATGATAATAAAGGAAAACTTTTTGATAATGAGGTCATTTGCACCATTGAAAAAAGAAGACAGCAGGAACCGGTACAAAGTACCGACGTTCGCTGCCACGAACGCGTGGGCTGAGGATACTGCGAGGGTCAGCCGGCCCCCTATTTTGACTCTAACCCGCGAGCTTAGCATTACGAGGCAGATGTGTGATCCTTCGGGCTAAGGGCAAGCACCTGGGAGTACTAATGGTATCCTTTTGATAACTAACAGGCAAATGGTAAAAACTAATATTTGCAAGAAGACAAGGGAGACTCACGGTGTTCAGGAGCAGAGAGCACGTTGCAAGGAAAAAAGGGTGACTGTCCCATAGCAGTAGAAGCAGGCGTTTGGAAGCATAGACCAACTGCCTGGCTATCGAAACAACCACTAGCGAAGGCGGAATCGGTTTGAGTTGCAGGTCTGATATGACGCGGATCCGGTTCATTGAATGGCAACCCATTTGCAGTTTGCGAGACGACGAAAGTTTGATCGTAGCACTGTTGTCGGTGGTTATAAGCGCCAGCGACTGAACTTGAGGCAGGTGGCTGGGGGGTTGTTGCAAGTGGCGATGTCTTCATTTGGGTGACGCCCTCTTGAGAACCCCAAACAGAAGCACTGTTGGGACCGGCACTGCAGCTACTGCTACTGCTCCAACTTTCCAAGCCTGAGTCTCCGCTTAGAAGAGACGCGGTGCCGATGAGCTTACTATTCGAGCCTTGTAGTGGTGATCTGACGGAGGACTCTACTGATCTGTTGGCGAATTCCTTGCTATCGACGGAGACTGAGTTGACACAGTTTGGTGTGTCGCGTTCAAACATAGGTTGTTCACGAGCAAGTATTTCTTCTAAATCGGAGAAAAAGGCATCTGCCTCAGAATTCAGCTGACCTTGAATCAAAGAGTCGGAATCCGCTGTCGGGGTGCTTGAACAGTGATGATTTTGGTCAACAGAATCGTTCCTGTTTGTGCCGATATCATAGTAAGTGGGGAAATGGGAATTATTGTCAAATGCCACTTGTCTATGCGAGTCATCCACAGCAGAACCATCATAAAATATATCCGGTAACTTGCTGTTTTCTGACGGTGATGAATGCGGTGCATCATCATTAGACATATCGGATGCACACAGCAACTGCTCAACTGTGCTCTGAGGCGTTTCCAAGCACCCATGAGCGAAGGGTCTGTCGTTGCGACGAACCGCTAGCGAGCTGGCTGAGCCCACTCTGCCAGCCATATAATCTGAACTGGGAGTTGTTGGAAGAATAGTAAGTCGAGGTTGCGAAGTATTCTCTGGCTGAGGAGGAAAAGTTGAGAAACCAGAAGAGCGTGGGTCTAAAGGCATACCATTTGCCGGTCTGAAAGCGCAACCCTCTAGAGCTCTGACGTCCCTCAGCTGAACAGTTGAAGTGGATTCGGCATGTCTGTTTGGTAGAGAATGAACGCTTGGCCCAGGAAAAGAGTACACATCGGCCACGGCAGGCATCAAAAAATCGCTTTGAGAGTTAGTCGGGTATGGATCATAGGCGCGATGGGGTTCTTGTGACTCAGGGCCACTGAGACTAGTCTCACTATGCTGTCGTTTGGTTGGAGGCGAGTGATAACAACCATCCGGTGGAGCGACGATTGCGGAAAAGCCACTAACACTAGGTGACCCTCTATCTCCAAGCCGAACCCGTGAGTCATAGATATCAGGACTGAGCAACTCCTGCAGGGAATTCCTTCGCTCTAGTAAACAAAGAAAAGAGTACACACGTCTGTTTGCAAATCGCTAAAAAAGGAGGTGGATAACAAAAAGTGAATGGCCACACAAGCAGCAAGGAAACCATCCTGGTGCAAGTTTCAACATCACCGAAATGTTCACTAAAAACGGGCCGGTGTGAGAATGAGAAGATGAAGGATGGTTCATAGGTGAATGGGCTGGACTGAAAACCGACTTTGAAAACAACTGGCTATAGGGCAGTCACAATCGTTGGAAATAATTCTCAACCCATTGTAACCTGATCGAAGAGAGCTGAGCCTTAGAGACATAGCATTAGAATTCATTGTAAGAAACAGACAGAGGGAAAGTGATCACAGTTCAGAAGTGTGACATATGGCCTAACCAAAAGGAGAGGAAGATTTCGGTGGTAACTGTAGTCGCTACTATCAGGAATTGCATCCCGTTGCCCTTTACGGTGACTAGCAAGTCCCTAGGACCATGAATCAAGATGGCGAACCAAAACAGGTGGACGCCTTTCGGATAGTTGCATCCAGCGCAGTCAACTCTGGCGTATCAAGGGTCAAACCTAGGTCAAACAGGTTAGTTATCCAGGTAGAGCCCGAATGAGGCGACAAACCATAACAGTGACCCTGTCAGCATTCTATAGTTGTCCCTCAAAAAGCGAGGATTATCTTGAGGAAGTTAGGAGGATGCCTGTGCTACACACAGGCTACAATTTTGCAAAAATTATGCCGACAGCAGAAGCCTGTGAGTCGGACTAAGTGGTGAGACTTAGGAGTGCAATTATCGGATGTGCAAATTCGGGTTAAACTGAAATGCATCAGAAAAACCGGGGAAAGTACATGTATGGAATCAAAATCTTGGTAGATACTTGGGACCGATCGAGAAGTCGAGTACAGAGAGGTTTAAAAATAATCGGTTGGTATAGTTGTTTGGTAATGTTTCGTTCTTGACGCAAGAGCTTCATCAGACCAGGTGAATCAGTGCACAATTGGAGTGGCATTTTATAGCGAACAAGGACGGTAACCGCGTTACCCGCGATTCAAGTCAAGGAGTCATTACAGTCAGTTCATGATGTCACCTCAGGTGGTTCAATCACAGTGGGAATAGTCCAGGTGTTCCTTTGTGCGTCATGGTATTGACGGATAAGCCCATAGTGGTGACAATGGGAGTGTTAAGTTCGAATGTTTGAATCGGGCAGCGTCTTTTGCAAGGGCAACTCCGCTGGTCTGTAACGTGCGATCGTAGTGTGTGCTGCATCTTACCGTTCCCCTAACCAAAAGCACTTCGGCGTCGTCTTTTAAAGCAATGAGAACAGGGAATCTTACTGTACAAAAAGAAGCTTCTATGCATTTGTCTACTGGAATCGCAGCTAAGGCCCCCACTAAAATGGCGACCCCGACTTGAGAAGAACCTCAGCGTCAGCTAGTTAGAATTTTGCCCCGATGAGCTCGTTCCATGTGCTTTCTTATATATTTTACTCTTTATTTTTGCTCACGGTAGCATTTTATGCCTACTATTTAATCAATCATGTAAAGCGCAAGGTGGTGTCTCCTGTTGTTAAGGTTGCACCTCTCCTTTCAGGAGCTGCTCATCTAGAGGCGGAAATTTATAACCACAAAAGTACTTCTAACAATGCTAAGTACAGCAAGTTCATGCCATACCTCCAGATGTATACGCAAGCTCGAGACATCACCCTATCTCAGATAGCAAACCGCTATGAGACCTTCAAAGGGATCACGATTAAGCACGTTATGCCTCCTGAGAAAACCCGCCAACACTCGCTATTCAGGGATTTACAGTTAGGCTGAAAACAATCCTTAAACTAACTAAAAGAGATGCAACCGCTAACTGGTTCATCCCCATGGACGAGACGCTGCTTCACGAAGTATGCAGAAGCTACTGAAAGAAACGTAAGCGGTTTTTGCAGTTGTGAGCTCCGTAGCACTCACATGTCGAGGCCAGCAAGATTGATGCCTTCGGTTTACAATCAATGATAGAAGGCTAGCAAGCGGAAATTGCGATAATTGGTCTCGAAGTTTGAATAGTCAAACCGAACAGTCGTCGTCACAATCCTTCGAAGCCATTTTAAGAGGTTCAGATTACATTAACAAACAAGCTTACTGTTGGTATTGGTACTTACACTTTCGAAGGTGCGGAAAGTTAAGCTGGGTTTCGATCAAGAAGCTATTTGTATCACAAACAAGCATACTATTTATAGGGTGCCAATGATGACGAATTTGGCAAAACAGTTCCCGTGCGACCGTCAACAAATGTTCCAAAGTCTCGCGCTGGCAACAAACGGGTCTAAGAGCATGTTTGCTGTGTGTTCAGTCAATGGCTGTTCCACGACTTCGGCAGGCAACACGACACGTCTGCCAGCCAAAAGAGAACTGAGGCACTTACTACGGTCATGTCTAGACGGTTGCTGGTCGCATTAGTGACTCACGTAGACCACAAGTACGACCAACGTTTTGGTAATGCAGTATGCAATTGTATCAAGCCATGCAGTTTCGTCGAGAAATAGTGAAGCTGGTCCACCAACACGAAGTGGCGAAGAACGCGATCGACGAAAACCAGTCTCCTTATCCTTGTTAGGTATTTTACTTCCGGTATCGAGTTCCCACTGGACACTGGATCGGAAACCAGCGTTATATCCTATAGTGCAGATGAGGTGGTCTCCTCCACACCGATCAGACTATCTGTCGCCAATGCCACACCAATTGCAACTCCAGTAAGCAGTTGGTTATGCTCAATCCAAGCCCCCGGTGAATTTTCCACAGTATGTATGTAAGTAATCTCAGCAGTCTAGCAACTAGACAGAGAGCCAATAGAAAACCATGGAGATCAGTGGATAAGAGATCGTCATTGCGTCATAATCATCGTGGCATAGTAGTTGAAGGTGAGCAACACACCTCAGCTAATATGCCACAGGAAGAAAGAAACATTTGGACAAAAAGTAAAGAAAAACATTTCTAGTTTTACTTATGAATGGAAGGATTTTGGTGAGTATTTTTGTTCGTCGCAATCAGCCGACAATTCAGATATGTCGACCAGCTGTCCGGAAAAGCACCAGACGGCCGTTTCGCCCTATTGGGGCTCATCAGTGGTGCGCATCCTTCGGTCCTCTGCGGAGGATCGAACCCATGACTGCTAGTGGCTCTTGCCAACTAGCCCGCAGCTTATGCAACTGCGCCATGGAGGACGGTATCTGACTATCGTGAATTGTTAGCTGAATGCGATATAGCCCGACGCATCCTCCACTGCCATGCAGGCACCTGCCATACAGATGACAGCGGTCGGCCTTCCGGCGTCAGGACTTCCCGGTTACGGCAGCTATGAATCGACATAGCATTTTGTGGAATCCGTACGGGCGAATTGGTATTACTTATGAATGGAAGGATTTTGGTGAGTATTTTTGTTCGTCGCAATCAGCCGACAATTCAGATATGTCGACCAGCTGTCCGGAAAAGCACCAGACGGCCGTTTCGCCCTATTGGGGCTCATCAGTGGTGCGCATCCTTCGGTCCTCTGCGGAGGATCGAACCCATGACTGCTAGTGGCTCTTGCCAACTAGCCCGCAGCTTATGCAACTGCGCCATGGAGGACGGTATCTGACTATCGTGGACAGCTGGTCGACATATCTGAATTGTCGGCTGATTGCGACGAACAAAAATACATTTCTAGTTTGTTTTTCACACGCCGATTTTGCTTTTTAGTCATTTTCAATGCTTGTAGTATTAAGCATGTGAATTAATACAATTCTGTACACAATTCTTTCACTGGTTGCAGGTCATGTCTTCAAGTGTTAAGCCAATGGCACTCTTCGTCTTTGGATCCCCATTCTGGAAGACGTACGGATCCAACAGCGGCTAGACACGACGTCAGCGATTTCACATGCTGCCGCCAAGTGGAAGGCTGACCACCACGCGGTCGCATCCAGCCAGGTACATGCTGAGCGAATAGAGCGCGACGCGGTAGACGCTCAGGTGCCATGCGTAGGACATGACCGAGCCATCTCAAATGGCGCAACAAAACCAGTTTGTTGAAGGGAATACTCGCATTCCCCAAGATGAGAGGTCGAAGGTCACTACTTTTAACTCGATGTTGCCACCAAACACGAGCAATCCTCCTTAAGTAACCGTTACCGAAGGCAGAAAGACGACGCATATCTTCCACGCGAATCGGTCAGGACTCGCTCCCATACAACACTGGGCGAACTGATGCACTGTAAACGCGGTCCTTTAGCGAGAATGAGACGTCGTGGCGACGTCACAAGTGCCTCAGATTGACAAATGCTGATCGAGCTTTAGCAATACGTAGAGACACTTCTTTGTTGATAGTGCCGTCAGCAGGAACACAGCTCCCAAGGTAGAAGAAACGACCTACCTGTTCAAGTTGTGCATTTTCGAGAGTGAGCACGGGGGCAGGTGAAAGCCAATCCTTGAGCAGTACTTTACACTTCGATGGGGCGAAGCTTATGCCATACTTAGACGCTTCAACCGTCAAATGATCCAGAATGAGGAGCATACCCTGAAGATCGTCACCAAGTAAGGCGATATCATCAGCATAACCTAAGTCGGTCGTACGCTCACCCGGTAGAAGATCTAGGCCAAAATGTTGGAAACCTTTTAGGGCACTCGACCATAATTATATAGTTTCCACTGGCAACCAAGACGGTACGAAAAAAACGCACGCACACCACACTCAGCGCACTCTCACCGATGCTCTACTACGCTAATGTACGCCACTCAACTACGCACTGATGATGTTACCCCGATTAGTGACGAAACCGTAACAAAATCGCCAAGCTCAGCGAACAGTTCAACCGCCATATGAACAACCTGAGATAGCAGTCTTCAATTCTATAGCCAACCATTTCGGGTATACAACACTACAACAAGCTTGTCGTTGGAAAACCTTCGCTAACCGACAAGCTTGCACACGCGAACAGCTCTACTTCCTTTATGAATGCCTGAGAAGGAACGTGCTGCCAGCCAGTGCA